GTTTTATCCCTGGCACGGGGCCCGCAATCCTCCAAGTCTTGCCCATCTTTGTGTATTCTTACACCGCCCATCAAAATTTTGGACTCTTGTGCAACGAACTCGCCAACCCGACGCCGCGCCGGACCCGACAGACCATCATGGCTGCCACGGGCCTCAGCCTCGGGGTTTACTTGACACTTGCCTTTGCTGCCTACCTCACGTACGGCGCCGCGCTTCAACGGGACCTCCTCCTCTCCTTCCCGGCCTCCCTCCTCTCCACCTCCCTCCGTGCCGCCCTGTCCGTCCTCGTCACTTTTACCTACCCTCTCCAGGCACACCCAGCCCGCACCTGCCTTCTGGCCCTCTGGGCGCTCTGGGCGGGGGAGGAGACCCACCGGTCTGGACGGCGTGAGAGCTGCCCAGCGCCCCTTTCCCCCCCTTTGGTCGCCTTCCGTGCCACCTGCGTGACCCTCCTCTTCCTCGCTGCCTCCCTCCTCATTGCCCTTTTGGTCCAAGACCTCTCCCTTGTCTTGGAAATCGTGGGGGCTACGGGGTCCACCGCCGTGTCGTACCTGCTCCCGGGCCTCCTCTATTTCTATGCGCATCCCTGGCCGCATTTCCGTCGGAGACTGGCGCTGGGACAGGTCCTGGTGGGGCTCGCCGTCATGATCACCTGTTTGGTCGCGATTGTGCTTCGTGAAAGATGACGGTGGACCGGCGTGACGAGGGCGGGGATACCAGAATGAGGAAAATGGTCGCGGGAATATGCATGGCCGAGACAAGCGGAGACGATGGCTCCGCTTGGCGGTGGGGGGGAGAGAGTGACTCGGTGGGCGGGCAGGGGGCGTGCAAAGGACGTCAGGGTTGGGGCATGACAACTGAAATGTGACAAAGAAGAAGTGTACAAAGGTCCGAGTGCCTGACTGTGTCTGACACGCGTCTTGCTCTTGGTTGGACGTGTCACATCCACGCGTCAACCTGCATGGGGAATTCTTTTTTCGCGCGTCTGCTTCTCTTGATCTTGTCACAGCACAAGCTGCCTTGGCCAATTACCCTTATTGAACTCTCTCGGTGGGTGATTTCAGACTATTAAGAGTATGGGGATACAGGCGTTGGCGGGACTTGGACGAGGGAAGGCCATTAGACAAGCCGCAGGAAGGCCGCGAATGAAGCCGCGCCGTGCTTGGATTGTGGTGGATGTTCTCTGACGGGGATCACCCGCTAGACGACAGCTCCGGCCATACATGGGCGGTGGAGTTGGGAGGAAAAGGACCTCGGAAGAGGGAAAGAGCGGCACCGTCCCTCACTTGAAGAGGAAAGGGAATCCCAGGAAGAGGCCGTGCAAAGCATGGCTGTTGCGCTGCCTCAGTCGTTCCCTAGTGCCTGCGTGGGGCATTATACGTTTGGCCGAGGATTCCTTTCCATCTCTAGGACGAAAAGAGGAACTTGGTGCTCAAAGGTATAAAATTAAATTATTTTATCCTTTTTCTACCCGTTCAGGCCTGCCAGTCCTGATTTTCCAACCCGAATTTCGCCTTTCAGCACCTTGCAAGCAAGGAATTTCAAAATCACTCTCCATCTACTATGCTATCCTATGTGTTTGTTGTCCACGACTACGGCAAAATTGCCCCACAACTCTCATGCTTTCCTGGCCTTTATCGTGCTTTATCGGAGATTTATCACCCTCCCGATCTCCCTGGCGCTCAAACTTACTTCAAATTACCAAAAAATCTCCCACTTTTTAGCCGCCCGTCTATGAAATGATTTTACCACGAATACGGCAGCCACCCCTGTTCGCAGGGCAAGGCCTCACACAGGTGTAGTTGACATCTCGATTCCTTCCCTGTCAAGAAAGCTTTTTATGTCTTCTGCGCGAATGTTCCCGTTCCCGTCGAGCCGCTATTTATCTGATACATCAAGACTTTGATCCTACTCTTCCGAAACTCCAACTTCTCGATACTGTTGTGAAACCCTGACACGACATGTCCCTGGTGAATATCGACGTTTTACCTACCTATGTAATACCCACATCTGCCTATCTATCTAAGCCAACCGTCCTTTATACATTGTTTCCCCTTTCCTTCCCTTTACTCCTTTCCTTCCCTTTCGCCGCCTCCCGTTCCTTGCCTATTCCTCCCCCACTTCCACGAACTTTCCCTCCCATCCCGTTTCCTCCCTCCCTTCCCTCGCCCGTCGCGTCCTCTCCTGGACCTCCCTGACCCAAGGTGCCCCCCGCAACTCCGACAGAGTCGGCCTTTTTTTAGGATCGGGATGCAACATCGCACAAATTAAGTCCTCCGCCGTTTCAGGCAAGCGGAGCTTCATTTCCTCCCGATAATGCGCAAGCACTTGCCGAGCTTCCCCCGCCGCCAACGCCTTGAAGGCCGGATCCCACGGGTAACGGTAGAGAGGGTGCCCGGTCAGGAATATGTATAGAATCACTCCCAGAGACCAAACGTCTGTGGATTGTCCGTTGATGGGCTGCTCGTAGTAGGACTCCGGAGACACGTAACCTAGTTTCCCCCGACAGCGTTGCTGGGTGAGCACGATTGTTTTCCCGCTTTTGCTTTCCGGCAGTCGGACAGCCATCCCGAAATCGATGAGCACGCAGCGCCAATGTCGCCGGGGAGGGGGCGGTTTGAACAAGCCGCTTCCCCGCTGCTA